TTGAGGGTGTTGATAAGACCAATGCGAGTTCGAAATTGCAGTCCACTGGTGCCTGGATGAGAACAACTTTTGGGAAAGCAAGGCTATGTGAAATCCAATGGAAACGTCAGCTCAACTGATATCATTGTGGGAAAATTGTACTACCAGTCCTTCATCAACTTACACGAAATAGGGTGAATACATCTCATATTACTTATACTCATAAATTCATTGTGCTATTGCATGCATTTTGAATCTGTTTTGAATTAGTCTTAAGCACGATAACTTTTGATGGTCGTTGTTGAATGCTCAGCTCGTCTTCACCCGAGACCAAAAAGGGACTGCGGTTAGCTGATTTCATTTGGTTAGTACATCATGTGGACATGATCGTATTCATACAAACAAAATCACACTAATATGCAGCATCGTTACATACCTACACATAAATATATGTATAGGCAGAGATCCGATTAAGGTTGCTGGTATTTTACTCCGTTCAGAGTTGGGTGTATTATGAAATCCTTCGGTGATGTGAAAATGATTCTCAGTCTTGATTGTAACATCTCGAAAGTGGCGCCTCGAAGAGGAGGCCGCCAGCAGCCCATGTAGACCTTGAAGCACCTGAACCAAGTTCATTCGATGCAAGAAGAGGATGCATGTGCCGATGAGTCTTACATAAGGTTGGATCTCAAGTTGACCCGAGGAAGGCGAGCGCGCACTGACTCCTCTTTTCGAAGTTATGTCAACTCAAGTCTCTCACTGACCATGCCGACTACGATGCCAGCGAAAAGTCTGGCAATGTACCACGTCCACGGTCCGACTTTTGAAATGATTATGCATACAATGCACTCCGGACAAGCTGTGTATCTCTAAGTCTTCCTACCAATATGACCACGTTGCGAAAACAAGGTCAAACAACCTCTACACAACGAAAGGGGACTGCGACCACACAAAAGGCCACACCATCTTGGTATTCATACTTTAAAGTCTCTCATATTTACAAATAAACGTTCAATGTTCAACATTGGAAATAGAAACAATGGCACCTGCAATGTCTCTCGGCCGACAGATATGGTTTGTTTTTGTTACATTTCATTTCGTGTGATCTGAGCTTACTGGCCTGGTGGGTTATTCTCACTGCACAGCAGGGTTGAAAATGGGTTGTTTTCTTATACTCTCATGATCAGTAAGCATTCAGCGTACCTCTCTTGTTGTTGCTGACCTCTCGGACGCATACTTTTGGTGGACCTGAGCTCCTGAATCAGACTGTTTCTTGTCTTTTGGCCAACCAGATTCGTTTTGGATTAGACAACTAAACTAAACTGCTGCTGTTGTCTTCGTCATAATCGTCATGATTGTCATGATTGTCATGATTGTCATAATCGTCATGATTGTCATAATCGTCATGATCGTCATGATCGTCGTCGTCATTGGCATACACCGTTAAAAGTGGGGGCAACCACGAAGACCGATTAGACTCACACTTTTGGATCTCTTTGATGCATCTTTTGTGGCGAGAATACCCTGTCTACTCAATCCCCCAGGGAGACCATAGCAACCAGAGCACTTTGTTCCTTTAGGCTAGACCAAGCAGACAGGTCTGGGCCACGTGAACAGTCATAGATTCGGCCATATCGACGTCTGTTCGCTGCGGACTTGGTCTTGACCTGCCTCTCGTCTCCCTCAGGCCTCAGGCTTGCCTCCCCTCCTGTCTCCGGGACGCCACTGGCCCTGAGTCAATTAATTGCGTCGACGCTTTCTGTCCTGAGGAACCATGTCATTGTGTGTTGTATTTTGTGTGTTTGGTGTGTTGAATGCGCGGTGTGTGAGTATGCAGGTGTGTGTGTGTGTGGGGGGGGGTGTGTAGGCATGTGAGCATGTGGGTATGTGGGTTTATGTGTGCATAGATGTGTAGACGAAATGAAGAGGAGCCCTCAATGTCCTCCAATCGATACGAGCATGCTACTGGGCCTGCGATTAGCCAGTCGACTACCCCCAACTATCCAATCACGTGTCGGTTAGTGGTGGCTGTAGCCAACCTATAAGCTGGCTCTGTCGAGGGCGAGAGAAGGATGACTCATGTCTCGTCTCTTCATTTTCCACGTCTGCCCGTA